TCCAGTTTTGAGACAAGGATGTCCTTCAGCTAGGAGAGGTGAGCTGCAAGCTTCAGCAGCGTAGTTTAGGGAAGTTCTGCCCTCTGCTCTGCTACAAATCATATGACTGTAATTATATGTAAGCCAGTAGATCTGGCAAACAAAGCTCTGTAACCAAATCTTTTCATTTATCTGTCTCTCTTAAAACTGTGATGGCAGAAGGGTCAAGTAAGATGGCTTATTCAGAGCTATAAATTCAAGCCTCTCTCCACTCGTGCATCCAAAGATGCACCATCATACCAGTATCTCATGGGAGCCTAGACATCCAAGCTGAAGAGAAAGATGGCTGGTAAAATAATTTCCAGTAGCTGGTCGATTATCGAGATTAACCTGTCTTAACCACACTAACCCAATGACACACTGAGTTTTGGTGGTCCTTTGGGAAGGCTTTTCCTTCTGTTTTCTTTATTCTGCTATTAGTGCATAAATATACAATTTACAAATATATGTGTATACATACATATATATCTGTATGTATATAAATGTAAAAGAATACATGTAAGAAAAAAGTTAGTGAGATATTTGTACACCTATGAAAGAATTATGGAGAAAAAGATACAGGACAAAATGAGTTGAGAGCATATTTCCATACAAGCAAAAGCCACAAGGTTTTGGATCCCTTCCCCAGCCTTCCAATTTTGGAATTTGCCTACACCATGTGTATAGAGCATTAGCCTAGAAGAGAAATTGTAGCAAACACACCTGGAAAGGTTCTCTGGGTAAAGTTTATTCATTCTGTCACTAGGAAGCACAATCTATTAAGTAAATTTTGGCTGTTGAATAATGTTACAGAAAGAAAAAAAAAATCCCCACAATATATTTTCAGTTATTAATTGCATTGAATTATAAAAATACTTGAAAGAAACTATGTGCTCCAGAAGTCTTTTCTCCACCCTCTTTTTGCAAATCAACTCTAGGCAGCTATACTAAGCATTGTAAACATTCAGATTGTTTTAATGGTGCTCAACGAATAATATTTCATCTTTAATAATTTCCCCATCTTGTGTTTGGTATGGGCTTTTGTTTTCATTTAACAATTTCCCTGTTTCTTTATTTCTACCAGGAGAGAGAAACAGAAGAAGAAGATGTCAGGTGGCTTTCAGCTATATGCCTCAAAATGAAGATGAACTGGAATTAAAAGTTGGTGACATCATTGAAGTTGTGGGAGAAGTAAGCAGATCTTTAATGGAATATACACACATGCAGTTCTGACATATCTGTGCATGCTAAGCTTTTAGATGCAGTGTGTTTTAAGACATCATTTAAACCAGACATTTTTCTTTTTTTGGTATACTGATGTGTTTGGTTTGGGTTACTCTTGGAGGTGAGGGGATGTGGTGGTTTGCTTACGGATTTTGTGAGGGGTTTTTTCCCTCTAGCACTTCTGCTTGTTTTACTTCATCAGTTGACGCTTCTGAGTTCTGTTCAGGGGAAGAAGCTCAACATTTGTGCTACAGGGCTATTGAATTTATATCTCTGAAGAACCAAGATTATAGCAAAAAAAAGCTTTTCCCAATTTTAGTAAGCCAGCCACAGGGAAGAATTATCTTTATGGAGTTAAACACATTTAAGAAATTTACTTGAAGCCCTCTGGAATTCAGCCGTGACATTCACCTGCTGTCTTCTTTGCCTGCAAATTTTAACAATTTCATTTTAGTCTTATCAGTTAAAAAACAAACAAACAAACAAACAAACCCCCACCAAAACAAAACACAAAACCCAAGACCAAACACCAAAATAAAAGAAAAAAACCCACCACAAAAACTACAACAAATTCTTTACAGTCTCAAGATGCCCTTATTTTGTGTGGAAATGGATGTGGAAAATGAATGCACATCTCTTAAAAGGACTAGGAACTAATAGAAAGCTTGGAAAGAGATACAGAAATTTTCTTCAGATGGATGAGTCTGATTCCGGGGTCAAGGAATGCTGTTCATTCCCAATACCTTCAGTGTTGTTCCATTAGAGATTTTAGAAATATGTTCTTGAGGTTAATAGCTTGAAGACAGAAAGTCATAATTCTAACCTGAAACCTTTAAGTAGAATGCATTCAAACTCATTTGTTCTTTATTTACTTAGCTTTAAAAAGATGGGAGACCTTAGTCTGCTCAAGCAGCCAATAAAAAGTGTGGTTCAGATTGTATCATTTATTTGCATGTTTTTTTTTTCACCGTGACTCAGCAGCTAATAAGTCAACATTTATTTTCTTGTCAAGGATGTAAGATTGGGGTTTTTTTTGCTGAATCTGTCACTTAAGAAATCGGATCTGAAATTTTGTAAATTCTACTGCAATCTCATGACATCCAGTGTTTTCTTATGAGAGCTTAAATACTCACAGCTGAACGTAAGATGCTTAGTGAGCACTGGTTTTCCTTTAACCTAGCTGTGCACGCCAGCTCTGCACATGGTTCTTCCTGGAATCAGACATGATATGTCACTTAACTAACCTTATTCTGTCTGTGAGCAGAATTGTAATGGGGAATGTCAAGGTTGTAAGATATTTAAGAGTGTATTTTGAAGACAGTGTAAGCCCAATATGGTAATGAGTGTCACGGCAGCACGAGCTGTTTTCATTGTGCAATTTGAAGTATATTTGACCTCACATGGCCACACAAATACCTTCTGTCAGTTGCCCTACTTAAAGTTTTTAAGTCTGGGTCTTTCAAGAGTAAAGTGATGGAATAAAACCCCTTCCTGGTATGTAGCCAATAAATTCACTCTACCGAATGACTTGTATGGTTAAATAATTTAGATGAGACACTAGACTTCTCTTATAAAGTACATCTCTTGTCTTATAAATTTGAAGAACTTAATCATAAATAACAGATTTATTTAAACTCAAACAGGAATGAAAATGTTTGCATTAAAAATGAAAGATGTAGAACTATGAAAGTGAAACATTCCTGTGCTTGCATGTGTGTGCTTATCTTGAAGGGCAGGTTTTTCAAAATTCACTTGGATTCCCAATTACAGCCTTCACGGTCTTAAACTCATCATTGTACCTTGAATTGCTACTATTGAAAAAAGCATTGACAGCTGGCTGAAAAATATATATAAGAAAATATATTGTCTAGAGCTGCTTTTTTTGATTGGCCGTCCTGGAGAATGTCATACTGCAATTAGTTTTACTGTAGTGTGGAAGAGGGTTGCTCATGGCTAGCTTGAACTGCTGGGCCATAAGTAAATGCTGAAGTAAAAGAGCTACACAGGTGAGGCTGTGCCCACTTTGACTTTATGAAATACCCTGTTCTGTTTGCTACTGAAACATAAGGTCTACCTCAGGCATCATCTGGTGCCTTCATGAAATCCAGGACATTGCCTGACTCTTCTGTGTGGAACTAGATCAGCTGGTGGAAAAGGAAAAATAAAGGAATTTAGATAAAATATTCTCAGCACCTCAGGAAGTGTTGTTGTGTGACCTTTATTATCATCACTGGTGATACGAAGCAGTTGATGTTGAATACTTGCTGTTATTACTTCCTCTTCTGCCCTTATCATATTAGTAGTAATTCCTCGAAAAAGTAGGGCAGAATTTTTCTTTTGAAAAAGGAACTTCACTTGATGTAGAAAGGTGCACCAACTGATGTACTGGTTTCACTGTCTACCCTTCTGTTTCTAGGTAATGATGTGTAAAGAGTCATTGCACTGAAAAAGGATTCACAGTGTTCGTCATTACACGATGCTCATTTCATGTGATAAATGTTTGATATGAAGGACATAATATTTAAAAAATATGACTTCCTCGGCTGTAAAAATGGAGATTTGTTTTTAAAGGGCCAAATTATGCTGTGTTATTGTACAAAAACCCCAAAACCAGCAAAAAAATCCTCCCAAACAGGTAACAATTGGAAGCAATGCTTGCAAAATATCAGTTTTATTTATCATTACTCAAAATGAAAAACTGGATGATAGCATCCTCAGCATTGTTTACAGTGGTTCAGTGAGTAATTGGAACATTAATGGTCATGCACTTTCCATTTCCAGTTGTTCCTTTCTCTTACCCCATCTTTTTATTCACGAGTAAGTCTCATATTCCCACAGGCAGTATCTTACTGTATCCCCCTAAGAAAGTTGCAGCAGTTGAATTAATTTATTTTAAATTCACTTAAATTCATGTTTTCAAATCTCTGAGGATTTCTGTTTAGTTGACAATAGATCGATTCCTAACTGACTTACAGCAAACTGAAGCAGATCTTGTTTAGATCAAAACACTGTGTATATCTTTATGCGAATATTTAACAAAAAATGTGTTTGAAATGTCACTTATGGTTGACAACTTTTCCTGTTGCAAAGAAAAGCTGGTTCCTGTTGTACTGTGCTGCTTTGGCTTCATTATTAAAGAAGGGTTTCGCTCCTTCTCAAACCCCTTTGTTGTGGTTTAGTCCCAGCCGGCAGCACTGCCTAACCTGTCCACTCATCACAGGCTGCAGGGGAACCTCTGCTCCAGCCACCTCCTCCCCAGCCTCTCTGACATGGGTGCCTGCGTGGTTGTCTCTCTCACATCCCACTCCTCTCTCCACTGCTGGTTCTCTTGTTTTGCCCTTTGAAATACATTAGTTTGCAGAGTCACTGACTGGCTCAGCCCTGGGCAGCGGTGGGTCTGACTGGAAGCCGAGGAAGTTTCTAGCAGCTTCTCATGGGAGCCATCCCTGTAACTCCTGCCCGCTACCAAAACCCCACCACACAAACACAATACGCCCTTGACGGTCACTGTCTCCAGCAAAGGGTTGGCAGAAGGGAACGCAAGTCTCCTTATCAGCTGTCTCCATCAATGCCCAAGCATGTTTCCCCAGACCCCCAGGGAAAATGGGTTACGCTGATACCACATAGTGACATGCTGGGGATGAGGATATCTTCCCTTCTCCCACCTCTGCTTCAGGGTGCTCACCAACACCTGAAGTGTAGTAGCATCTAAAGCTGCCCCAAATTCTTCTTCCCAGTGACAACAGAATAGATAAGGTACTTTTTGAAAGGGTTTTTATGTATGCTGTAGTGGTAGATACCGCTGGAAATTCCTGTACTATTGTGGCAGAAGTGGTTTGGGGCTGTACAGTGGATTGAAACAACAGCTACAGTAAGCGTGAGGTTTGAGATGCTAGGCTTGTCACCAGATAGATGTCCTTGGAGGCTGTGTATGTGCAGAATTCATAGTTCCTTCCTATTAGTTCTAAATAGTTAGAAATCAATTATAATAAGATCATTCATCACAATAGATAAAAATGCTTGCTGTTAAAATAGAGGTTTCCATAACTACACAGACACTGATACCCATGAGATATTAATTAACAGACTTAAATTAAAAGTACATTTGAAACTAATAAGAGAAGCATTTTCATCATTGTTTATGTTCACATTTAATGTGTGATTGATAGCTTTTTGCTTGCATTTTCCTAGCTCATTAGCTATAACTCTAATTACAGTTCTCCCAAAATACAACTGTAACTGTGTTATTAAACACAGATCTCTGTATTCCAATGATGTTTCACCCTTAGACTTTCAAGGGATGTGAGACAATTAACCTGCAGCATCCAAATAGGAACATTTGACATGTCATTCAAAAGTTCTGAGCGTGCTTTCATTTGGGATTAGTCTGTCGTGCTGCTGTGTACCTTGTGGCCTCATCCAGCTGAAAAGTCAACTTTTTGGCAGTGTATAGTGCATGGAGTTAAGTTCACAACTAGGTCTTTGACTGAGATATGCTGTAATGCCACTGAACTATTCTTTGACTTTTAGTTAACATTGCCATATATTAGATGATCATATCCAATAAGTAAGTAATTTGAAATTTTACAAATCTGTTACTGCTTTTGGGCATGTTTAGTGGGGTTGTTTTTGTTGTTGTTACAAGATGGAGTGATTCAACCCATTTCCAAGAACAGGATAAAAACTGGGGATTGAGCTGGACTGTCCTTACAGTAACTTACTTAGACAGCTGTAGAGTTGAAAGGACAACATTTAATAGTGGCAAGGGCATGGTCTGTGCCACAAATACAGAACCACTGCAAGAAAACAGCTGGGAATGAATGCTGGGGTTCCATGTCCCTCAGTTACTTACCTGTGAAATCCTTTGGTAAGGAGTTTTTCCAGATCCTCTTCCATCAGGTGGTTCATGAAGACCTCTGTGACTACTGCTTGTTTGGTTAGTTCATGTGGTAGGAGGCTTTTTTTTT